GACAGCCGGGCTGCACCGACTGACAGACAGGCTGCACTGACTGACAGACAGACAGACAGGCTGCACCAACTGACAGACAGACAGGCTGCACCGACTGACACTCCAGCTCTCCTCCAGCCCCATCCTCCAGCACAGACAACAGGTGCTCAGCCACCACCCCACTCTGGAAAGGGGCATTAGCTGTGAGCTGCTGCCCCACCCCCTGCCTGCCAGGTGGGCTGGGGACCCCCGGGTTCCACGTCTGCAGGGCAAGGACAACCCTCGGGGCAGGGCACCCACAGCCAGGCACCCCCTCGCCTCCTTGCCAGGGAAAGGCAGTGGGAAGGTTACAACTCGCAGCAAAAGCAATCTGGCAATTAACAAAAATTAAAGATGACAGCAGTGAAAACTGTATGAGACAGATCAACAAAATGTTTTATATCAATTCCCCTCCCTTCAGTCATGAGCTCTTTAGTTATTTGCATGGTAAAGCAGCTCAACTATAATCCATCTCCATTGCCAGTTTTACCTAACTTTTAATCCATTAAGTCATAGATGCTTTAGTTAAAATTAGCCACCATTCTTCAGGGCGTTTTTAACCACTAAATATGAGGCAGAGTATAAACATTGGTAGTTGCCAGCAGGCGCTCAGCGATGCCCTGACAGGAGTGTTGCCAGGTGGTCACTGCTGGGCCCCACTGAGCAGGGGTTTCACTGCACTGGTGGCTGGAGTGGGGACCTAAGGGCAGGGGGACAGTCAGCACGAGTGTTTGTGAGCAACAACACCAGCACAGAAATTCACAGGCATGCAAAGTCTGACTGCTCTCACCAGCAAACAGCATCCGCAGCATCCTGAGCCCAGCCAGCTCCTGGGCAGCCCCGCGGTTGCTGGGAGCACTTGCCACACCAGTCAGCTCTCCCCTCCTGCTCTGCCCCGCAGCGCTCCTTGCTTCCACTCTGGAGGAGATGGGTCGCAAGGAAGAGGAGGACAGCAGCACCTGGAAGAAACAGACAAGCAACATCCAAAAAACATTCATTTTCATGGAGGCCCTGGGATCGTAAGTACCACAGCCACCCTCCCGACAGAGCCACCTCCAGATAGCAGCTGCCCAGCTCAGGGCAGCGACTCCCTGCCTGCCACGGGCCCATGTCACAACAGAGGGGCTCCCTCTGAGAGAGGCAGCAGTCTGCAGGTGCTGGGGGTGTCCCTGGGGTGTCCCGAGGAGTGCTCAGATCCGGGGCTCACGCTTGCCAAGCGGCACCTGTGCGGCTCCTTCCCCCTGCCCCGGGGCACGGCCCCACAGCTCTGCCCCCTCCTCCTGCCCCTCCCACCTGCCTGGCACCTCAGCTCAGTTTTTGCCCTTTTCCTGTGGAGCACACTGGTCTGCTGCTGCTGCAAGGTCAAGGGATGGCTCCAAGAGAAGTGTTACAATAATAAGTCATATATTTAGCTCATAAACTCTGACTCAGTTGGGGGATGAAACAAGAACAAGGATGTTCAAGTTGTATGGTACTTCTCTCTGAGTTAACAGCTTAATTTGCCTATTCATGCGAATGAGACAAGAAAACATTTCCAAGGTGGTGGAGGAGGAATTGAATTAACTCCACCAGTGAGTTCTGTCACGGCCAGATTTTCTGTGACTTTAGAACCCACAGCAAAGCTCCTAAAAAACAGCTACTCCAGAGCTCGGTGACATTTTAAATTATGTTCCTGGTCAACCTCAGAAATTAGTTTTCCAGCAGCTTTCTCTAAAGAAATGAGGTTAGAAAAAGCTTTATTCTCTCCCAGCCAACTTGTTGATTCACCATTTTTTAATAAGGGGCATAATTATTATAAACTGTTTGGGACAGATACACAGAACAGATGCCCCAGCATCTGATTTGTAGGTTGCTCATTTCCTATTATTACACTAATAGGAAAATTTAGCATTAGAAATTAGGATTTTTCCACATGCACCACTTCAGATAGTTGAAGAATAGAAATGAAGACCCAGGACCTAAAACTACCTGGGAAATTGCTGTCACCTTCCCCCAGCACCCCCAACTGCTGGATTAGAGACGTCTGCAAGGACATCCCTGCCTACTCCCCGAGAGCTCCCAGGAGCTTGAGAGGCATTTCCACAAAAAAGCCTTCAGGGTTTATATAGAGAAAAATGTGTGAAACAAGAAAAAGGTCCCAAACACCACCAGCTTTCTGGGCCAGAAGAGAGAAGACTATTACATATAATTTACTGAGTGAAAGAAAGACTCTAATCAAGCTATTGAGATGCTTTCCCAGAAATGTATAGGTTAGGGTTGTTTTTGGTTTTTTTTGTGGAATTGTTGGGGTTTTTTCCTTGCTAGGCAGCAGTCCTGGCACAGCCCAATCCCTCACAACCCCGATGGTCTGTGCAGCGTTTCAGCAGTACCCAGGACCCACTGGAGGAGAGAAGCAGAGGAAGGAGCTGAGCTCTCCCCAGGCATTGTCACCAGCTGCTGCTCACTGACAGAGACACAGGAGCTCAGCACCACGTGCCAGAGGGGCACAGCTCCGTGCTGAGCCCATCCATTGGCACAGCATGCTCTGTTCTGTGTTTAGGGCACTGCAGGAGATAGAGGTGTCCTGCCCTTGTTTGCTGGATTTGCTGTAACAGCATCCCAACCAAGAAGGTGCTCCCACCACACTCACGCTCCTTGCTCTGCCCTCCAGCTCCCCGCAGGGCTTTGCAGACTCAGTGGCAAGTTCCATTTCACTGCCATCAATTAATCTGTTGCTCGTTTGATGAGGATTATGGAGGACTGACCTGGCTAAGTATGCACTGTCACTAGCCCCAGACACGTGTTCAGCTGCCTGAGACAAACCTCTAACAGGATTGTGAGCTTTAGGCATGGTATAAATACCTGCTCGTCGCTGCACTGGGCTGAACCCTTATCAGGAATGACACTCATTGTCACTTTGTCACTAAGGGTACATGGGTATTAGCAGTCTCTGCAGAAAGAAAAACAGATTAGACATTAATTTAAAATATTAACTGAGGTTATTCTGCTGCTTTGTACTTCAGACACCCAAAGTGCAGCAGAACTGGGCTCTCCTCACTGCAGTTTGTCTGTCTCAGTCCTGGGGGCAGCGCTGGCCAGGGCCAGGGAAGGGCCACGTTAAGGTCATGGGGGCTTTAAGGAAACACAATTTATATCCAGCAGTTGCTGGAGTAGAAGCTGCTGAGGTCTTTCCACGAGGGGCTGTTAACCCCAAGGAGCAGCCGAGCTGCAGACACCTGATCAGTGAGGTGGCTGTTGACACAGCCTGGCTTACTCTCAGCCCAGAAAATACTCCCAGTCCCAATGGATTCAAGTGCAGATGTTCCCTAAAAGGCAGAGAGCTGCAAGACCCTGGATGGGGCATGTGCTGAAAACCATGTTTGCCACCTGCCCCCCAGCACATGCTCCAAACCTGGCACGGCTGCAGTTAGACTTCACTGGCTCTGCAGACAGTCCTGAAGAATGTGATTTTATTTCATTGCAGGGGTCTTCTTTGTCTGCTACTTCAACACAACTTCACAATGAACTATGCCAAACCTAACCTTTTCTCTGCAAAGAGAGAAAATTGGGGGGGATTTTCTACATGTTGCATAATCTTGCATTGAATATCCTAAGTTTGGGGCTGCAGGAAATGTAGTTCCAGCTTTACAGTCAGCATCCACTTAGAGTTAAATTTACTACCATATTTTTTCTTTCTATTTCCTCTTTCTCTGCACTGATCCTTCTAGTTCACAGCAGCAGCAGCAACTGAAATACAACTTCTCTCTGCAGAGGTGCCTTTTCGGAGGTTTTCCTGGTGAAGCAAAGAAGCACTGGCAAGCTCTTTGCTCTGAAATGCATCAAGAAGTCTCCTCTCACAAGGGACAGCAGCTTGGAGAATGAAATAGCAGTGTTGAAAAAGTGAGTGTATATATACATTGTAAAGTAGAAAAAATGTTGTAAGATGTGTGAAGTAACAATAATATAATGAAATAAATATTTGCTTTTAAAGAATATATAAACATTAGTAGACCAGGAATGTTTCTTCTCTTGTGGCTGGGTTTGTAACCCCAACACAGCCGTGCTGCCCCAGGTCTGTAGAAGAATCAGATGAAGCAGAGCAGTGTGCAGGGAAAGGAGAAGCAGAGTGAGCATTTCTGGAGCCCCAGTAACACAGGGCAGGCAGCTGCTGAAAGCCAAAGTTTCTGCTCCCCTGCTGCTGGTGCTCCCAGGGGAGTCTGCAGTGGTGTCAACCATCCTCTGCTTGGCAGAGCAAGGGAGATCAGCCCCAAAAGCCCAGGGAACCTTCACCGCTGATGAGAGCAATACAGATGTTGGGCTTTCCACTTGAAAAGCCAATTTGTCCTTCCCAGGTTTGTTTCTGACCCACATCTATCTTTGCAGAATAAAGCACGAAAACATCGTGACTTTAGAAGATATCTATGAGAGCACAACTCACTTCTACCTGGTCATGCAGCTGTAAGTATGAGCAGAGCCATTTCTGTGTGGGCCACAGAGGAAGAAGAGTGGCAGGACGAGGGTGCAGTGCCCTATTCCAGCACCCACCCCCCGGGGTCCCTGTAGAATGCCAGAGCTGCCTGGGAGGAGCCAGCCCCACACCCCCGCTGACGGTCTGAGCTCCCCTGGGCGCCTCGCACGCTGCCTTGGCCCAGGCTCATTTTACCAGAAAGTCTCTAAACCAAGATTAGGATCTATTTATGCAAATTAATTCATCACAGTTTAGCAGGGCAGAGACAGAAGTCTTTCTAATTAAAGCTGTGCCATGCAGAGTTTCTAGAAATTAAAACGGGCAACGTGTCAGCCGCAGAGGAAGCAGCTCACTGCGGGCACCAGCTCCCAGCACCCGGCTGCTGCTGCTAACTGGCAAACCCAGCTGAAGGAAACAATCACAGGAAACTTCTATCTGCTTGTGTAGCAGAGCCTGGACACAGTCCTGCCCACGGAGCTGGATGCCAGAGGCTCAGACCTGCCGGGAGTCACCTCGTAACCTTACCCAAATTCCCCAGGCTTACCAGAAACGCTTACTGCACCCCAAAATTGCACTCAAAAATGTCCATCGGCCTCAGCCTCACAAAAAGTGCTGCTCAAAGAATGGCTCGGTTGTAGGTGGAGTTGTAAAAGGACCAGAAAGTTAGCGTGCCTAACACAAAAGCATAATTAGCTTTGTTTAATTTGTTTTTCCCAGTGTTTTCCTTTCTGACATTTCCACAGGGTATCTGGGGGAGAGCTCTTTGACCGAATCTTGGAACGAGGGGTGTACACGGAGAAAGATGCCAGTGTGGTGATCCACCAGGTCCTGACAGCAGTGAAATACCTCCACGAAAACGGAATAGTCCATCGTGACCTGAAGGTGAGTCCTGCCCCCAGCAAGAGCAGCAGCTCAGAGCTGCCGTGACCATGGCTTCCTCCTCTTCCTCTCCATTCTTCTATCACAAATATCAGCCCCTGACCGCTCTGTGTTCACAGCCTGAAAACCTTCTGTACCTTACTCCTGAAGACAACTCCAAAATCATGATCACGGACTTTGGCTTGTCTAAAATGGAGCAGAACGGGATCATGTCCACGGCCTGTGGGACTCCGGGATACGTTGGTAAGCAAGGATCAGGAACAGGCTGGTGCTGGAGTCTGGAAAAAACATTGTGTGTGTAGAGTACGTTGCCTAGCAGAGAGGAGAAGGAAAAATACATAATTACATTAATAACAACATGCTACTCACAGACACATTGCATGCACCACATAAGGACTGGATTATAGATGAGTGTAGAGAATGAAAAATCCCAGAATGTTCAAAAGTGCAAAGAAAAAGATAATTTTAAAAGCAATATCTTTCAGCGTTAGTCATGTATTTATTGAAAAAAATCCAAAACAATTTTAACCCAGTGGGATCTTGTTTAATGTGCACCAGACTGTGCTGGCTTGATCCACAGCTTCTTGGTTAAAACCTCAGGACAGAGACAGAAATTGTCAGTGGTTCTTTCTATTTAATGGCATAAAAACAGATACAAAAAGCACAGATCAATCCAACCAGTGAACGAGGCTGGTTTTGGCCGATTCTCTGCCCTGGCACCTCAGAAGCCAAGTGTACAAGAAACTGCTGCTTTTCCCTGTACTGGACAATTTGTTATTGCTGAGAATTTTCCCTTGGTTTTGGTGTTCTGCAGCCCCTGAAGTCCTCGCCCAGAAACCGTACAGCAAAGCTGTTGACTGCTGGTCCATCGGAGTCATCACCTACATCCTGTGAGTAGGAGCAGACAGCAGCCCCCTTGTTTCCCCGTGGGTCTCCTGCAGGGTCCCTGCCCCGCGCGGAGGCGACGCCGTGGTGCCCGTTCTGCTGTGGGGCCACAGCAGCGCCGTGCTCGGCCTTGGCACAGACCCACCAGACCATGGAAGCGACAGGGACGTGGGGAACTGAGTTCTGGGGTGGAGATGAAAGGAATCACATTTTCTCTATTATGTGCCTCATCCTATGCTTTGTGGTTTTTTTTCAGTTGACTACAAATACGATTCAATCTTCCTTGGTACTTTTTGTTTCATTCCTCCCACGCCACACAGCTCTGTACCAGCTGTGGCTTTGTCCTTTCACTGCTGCAGTTCAGTTTTTAACTCTTCTCTGCAGCTTTACACTGAGCTGTGAGGGACAGGAGGACGGATGGACAGAGCACCTCCTCTGTCCCTCGCTCGCTCGCGTTGCCCACGTGTGCCCAGCCTGGCCGGGCTGCAGAGGAGCCAACGTGGACAGCTGAAGGACCACTGGTTTCTGCTCTGTTCCAGCCTGTGTGGGTATCCCCCCTTCTATGAAGAGACTGAATCCAAACTGTTTGAAAAGATTAAGGAAGGCTACTACGAGTTTGAGTCTCCGTTTTGGGATGATATCTCCGAATCAGGTAAAGCCCCAGCACTGGGAAGTGCCACATTGTGATGTAGAGCCCTGTGACCCCTGGGCATGGGGGACTCCAGGGGCTCTTCACCTTGTTTTTCTGTTGGATTTATTTGTTTTTTCCCTTTCCCCTTTGCTTCTCTTCCCCTTGGCCACACTTCCTTGCAGCAGCACCGTGAGCTGTGGCAGCCCCCACTGCACCCTCCCACCAGACTAACCTGCTCGTGGAGCTCGCCCGCACAGAGTTCGCTGCAGCCAGCATCTTAGCAGCATATTTTGAACATCAGTCTTGTATCTATACAAACAAAACTAGCAAGAGGTTTGTGACAACTTAATAATAAATGTTGCAATCCTCCCTGAAAAAAAAAAAAGAAAATTAAAATAAAAATAAAAATAGAAAGGATATCAATGTTTTTTAGGGCAACATCTAAATCTGCTCAGTTCACCCTTATGTTTTCAAGAGTTATTTATTAGCTTAATATTTCAGCTCAAATTCACATAATCTAAGCATGAAGTTTGGTACATCCTCAGTTAACACTTTTTCACGTGGAACCCTTCACTACAAACATCTCCCTCTAAGGGAGTAATGAAGCAGTTCCAGCACCTACTCCTGGGGTGATGACCTTTGCCATGTTCATCCACAAACGTTTCCTGTGTCCTGTTAGGATCATATCTTGGAACAAGGGGGAAATAACCTTTTCTCTCTGCTTCTCCCCTCCCCAACAGCCAAGGATTTCATCAGACACTTGCTGGAGAAGAACCCGAAGATGAGGTTTAGCTGTGAAGAAGCCCTGCGGCACCCGTGGTGAGAGGAGGGGCCCTCGGCAGTGCCTGGTGCCCACGGGGATTCACCAGCCCCTGGTCGGGTTCCATGTGCTCCGTGGTCGCTGAGAACAGGGGGGGGTCTCCCCAGCCCCCACTATTAACGTCACCATCTGCCTCCGCCTGGCCCTGGGTGTTTCCTTTCTCTGTGCAAAGGAAGAAAATAATGAATAATTAAAGATGCAATTTGTGCATATTTGCCTCCATAAACAGAGGCAAAGAAAAAAGAAATCCCATCCTGAGCTTTTCCAAGCTTTGAAGTGTGTGTTTGTGTTACATTTTGTTGCTGTTTTTCCTTTGGGTTTAATTATTGCTGATTGAACGTTCAAAGCAGTTAGTTGCCTCCAGAATGTGGAATGCCTTACAAATGCCATCTGCCTACGAGCCCATTTTCTTCTCTCCCCATCTGCAGGATTAATGGAAATACAGCCCTTCACCGTGACATATACCCATCTGTCAGCGCACAGATCCAGAAGAACTTTGCAAAGAGCAAATGGAGGGTAAGTCATTTGCTGGTGGGAGCCTGGAACCGTCACACCAACAAACGCCCGTTGCTGCCATCCCGAAGTAAGCGAGGCTTCGGCTGCAAGGGGAAGCACCCAAAAGCTGAGACCCTCCCAGGGCTGCCTGAAAATTGTATGCAGTTCCTGTTCATAGTGTGGCTGGACCAATATTTTCTCCTGCAACACGTACTGGGAGCTTCACCAGCCCATTGCACTGTAGCGGCCTCGCCAAGAAAGCCAAGGGGAGCGAGAAAGGCTCATTGTCTTTATACCAAGGGAGTGAAATGGGTGCTCCCATCAGCAGATCTTTATAGGAGCTTAATCCAGCTTCTCCTTCTTTTAGTCTTGAAGATAAATTGGCACTTCATTTGTATCAATAGTTTTAATAAGAATGTATGTGGAAAAAGGAATACCATAGGAACCACATATACAATAGCATTTGAAATACTTGCATTCAAAATTCAGCTCTAATCTCCATTTCACACCACAGGATGATTTAGAGCTGTTCCCCCAGTTTCCTCATGTAGCAGTGGTTGTAACCTTCAAAGCATGAGCAGTGTACACTCAGTGGAAACAGTGGTGGTTATGTCAGGAATGAGCACATCCCATGATCCACACACTGTGCAAACACAGCCAGTGCTCACCAGCCAGCGCTGGTCCTGACCTCAGGGGGACAATCCGTTCATCCCACAGCACCCACCCAGCCTGGCAATGCCAGATGCTCACCATGGGGTTTTCTTCTGTCTTCCTCCCCAGCAAGCCTTCAACGCCGCGGCCGTCGTGCACCACATGAAGAAGCTGCACATGAACGGCCACGCGGCGGCCGAGGGCACCCTCCCCGTCATACAGGTCTCAGAGGGGTCCAGACCCAACACTCCCATGGTGACCACCCACCCAGCGACACCCAGCAAAGAGGAGGACCCATCACTGCCTCTGGTCCCCACGCAGGGCTGCCCAAACCCTCCCACTCAGCTGGAGCAAGACACGGCAATGAGGGAAGAAAAGGTGCAAAGCCAGTGGGAGAACGGAGCGGTGCCCGCAGGGAGCAGCCTGGCCCTGCCCGAGAACCACAGCCCACCAGCCAGAACTTCTTGTGGCTGCAGTCCAGCCTGCATGGGGCACGAGAAAACGAAGACGTCCTTCTGCTCCGAGACAGTGCTGCTTAAAAAACCTGCAAAATCCCAGTAGGTATCCAAATCATTAGCCCCAGCTTCTAACAAAATACATGGGGATAACCATCTCTGGAAGGAATTGTCTGGCACATAAGTTGGCAGCCACAGGTGGAGGCAGGAAGGAGGGAGGAATAAGGACAGGAGCACACACTTTGGCCGGCTGGGCAGCAGTGCCCAGCCAAGTGCCTCACACGAGCAGCAGTGAGGCAGGGTGCCCAGGCTGCGTGGCAACGCGGGCAGCGAGCTGCGGGAGCAGCGCTCCACTGCCACACTCACTGACCTGAACACGTTTGCTTTCCAGAAACCCAAAATGCCCGTGGTTAAAGGTGCTGATGCCAGTTCCTCAGCTGGCACCGAGTGACTGGCCCCTGCTTTGCTGCAGTGCTGCCTGGCACCCAGTTCTGCTTTGCTTTCAGCAGCTGATGGTCTTTATATTAAAAACACAATTTCAGTTCACTTGCAGAACAATAGTAAATATTGCTTTTCTTTCTTCTTCCTTCTCTTCTCTCTTTCTTCTTCCTTCTCTTCTAATTCTTCCTTTCCAACCAGTCATTTCAAATCAGAAGTTCTCGTTCCAGTGAAAACCAGTAAGCACTCTTCTCACTGTGGCACTGGGCAAACTGGAGTTTGTTTGATCATGTGAAGAGGAGCAGCCACCGGGCTCCCCACATCGCCAGCGGTAAGTGCTCCACAATCCAGTCACCAGCAGCTTTTAATTAATCCCATTATGGCATGAAAAAGGGAAAGGCACAAATAGCAAAGTGATTGTCCCTGAAATAAATTGACTCACAGGGTTTTTGAAATAGAAAAAGCTTTAACTAAACCATCTCTCAGGGAAGAAATCATCTTTCAGCTCCCACCAAGGCCAGCCTAGTGGTTCTGAATCTTTTACATGACAACAGGGTTGCCCAAGGAGTGTGTGAAAGGAAGCCAGGCATGGACCCATCATATCAAACTCTACAATGATTCAAAGCTAATCACACTAGAACCAAACAGCTTCATCAGCTGGGATTCCAGCTTTTCATCTGGGTCTTGGCTGTGACTGTGAGCAAAGAGCTGACAACAGGCTGCTGGCCCACGGCTGAGCAAGGCAGGACATCTCTGCAGCCTGCAGGGCTGTTCCCTCTCCCAGATCCCATCCAAGCAGGTCACTAAGTTGTTTTGTTACCAGAGAGATGACCATTTTGTAGGTGAGCAAAACACAGTCATGAAAGTTTCATCCTGTTTGACCATAGCTTGGATTGACTCTGGACTAGCAAATTGTCATCATTTGCACCACGTTATATACGAGCAGTGAAAAGCATTGCTTAGATCCTGCAATAAAGAACACTCCTCAAAGGTGAGCATATGCTGGCATAGTTCTCCACAAAAGCCACATGAAGTGAGCTACCTCCTGTCATCCTTTCTGACACTCTCTATTGATGAGATTGTATGAACAGGACTGTAACATACAAAGGATTAATTGAAGAGACAAATGCAAGTAAGAGATACCATAGGCTCCAAAAACGTCCATTCCAATCATCTAAGCTGTTCCTAACCCCTATGCTCCTGCTCATTAACAGAGCATATCTTTAAGGTAGCAGCTAATGAAACCAAGTTCAGTGCTCAGCTGCAATCCTCTCTTGCAGACTCAGAAGGGCTGTTCTACTCTGCTCTGCACTTCGAGGCCGGACTCCGTGGGAGCC